GGAGCTCGAGAAAAGAATTCTCATATGGAACGGTTACTGCGCACAAACTGCGTGAAGTTTATAACGTTTTCGAGTACAGTAAGTTTGAACCTAAGTCGGATGTTAAATCGAGTTTAATGTCGTCATATGCTCTATTTTGATTTATGATTGGACGAGATCATGATACTTTCGGGTTGATGGATCATGTACCCAGATTGAGTTCAAATCCATTGCACTCGAAACGCTATTATTTTCGAGACGATATTAATGTTTGACGATTTATTCCTCCTAAGTGTTAAGAGTCATGTGTACGAGTTTACGTGCGCTTGCCTGTTATTGCTACGCAATAATTTCATTCGGTTGTAAAACGCACGCAAATGGACAATGAGATGCATCCACTTGGACTTCGAAGAAAGTTACGATGCTCAATCGAGAGTTTTATCTCATGAGAACGACTTTCAGTAATAACTTGTTAACTTATTTACTGAGAATAATCTGAATGACAGAAACTCTCGAATGTGCACACAGCCAAACGTGTCTGCCAAAAACAGATCCGATTGTATTTACGATTGTATCCGCTTTCTATTGATCTTTTTTTTTTATAGTTCTTTTTTAATGTAGCATCGATTTGCATTTAATACCTGTGTTTTCACGCGTGTAATTTATATATCCAATTGGATAATATATCCGATTTAAATATCCTGCAAAAACACAGTGAATACCTCGCACAAATTTATGTTACTTTTTATTTCGGCAGTCGCTGTATGTTGAATTGAAGTTCTCTTTCGCGAAGTACCATTGGTCTTGTTGAAAAGAAAAAAAAACAAGGATATAAAAATTAGATGAGGAAGGTGAGAAAGTTACTAATATCCGGATAAATGCGAATGCGTGAATGCGTTTCAGGGCAAAAAAGAAAGAGAAAAGAAAAATATTCCGAATCCCGTGATGTAAATCGACACGATGGGTTTCACGTCGGGGTAAATCGGAAATGCATTTTCGGATAAACTTAAGTCATCGATGTTACTCGTACAAAGTGTCTGAAAAATTGTAAATTTTTCTACTTAAAGAAGGGAAATACAAACGACGGATTAGAGTAGGAATTACTTAGACGATAAGCGTGACAGTCTCGTTGGCGGATTGGCGACTTTGCTCTCTTCGCGGTGCTCGAAAAAAATCTATTCTCGTGAATCATCTCTGATTCTCCAGAATTCAACGTCGTCCCCGCGAGGTACGTTATGCACGCGAGACTCGAAGATTAAATCGATTGCACCAACTTCGGTTAGCCCCAACTTCGGTTAGCCCCAGCTCTGGTTACCGTCATATTTTTTTGAATACTCTTTAATTTTAATCAAACATTTAACCTTTCAAAAGGTAAAAATAAAAAATACAGACATATATGAAACAGAATCTTAATGAACAGTGTAACAAAAGATAAGTGTTTTACTGCTAAATGCAATCAAGCTATGCACTACTTTGTTAATAAAGTGCTCATTGGAAGAATAAATAAAATCTTACCATTAGTATAAAAATTTTAATTGGTATTGCCATCTTTGCTTCTCGAGCTACTTTGTGGGTAGACTGAACAGATAATCTGAAAAGGATGGCGAATAGTTAATTGGAATTACCCAACTGATTGTTGATGCAATCAGCTGAGTCATACAAGTGTAACGATTACGTCACAGTTGATTGTGTGACGATTAATTTTTTCCTTTATCTGCGTTATAATTGAAATATTTAATGTTGATTTGAAATGTTTAATTGGTAATTAAAGTAAGATGACCAAAGATGATACAAAGAGAAAATATTATATATTATATGACATTTAAGGAGGTCTCACGTTTGATGAAATATAAGACAAGTGTATATAATATACATGTAATACAAATGTTAATAATATCAATAATATCTAGAAAAAATTTCATTGACTCTTACCGTATCATTATGAAGATATTTAATTCTAAATTTATAGAATTTTACAAGTTGAAAGTATAATCTTATTCTATAAGTTATTCTCTTTTAAATTACGACACTTGTAAGACAGTAATTTAAAAATCATTATAATTATAAAGTAAACACTTTGTTCCCATAAAGTTTCATTTAAACTGATCGTACAGTTTACAAGAAATGTATATTCTTTAATGAAAAAAGTTAGAATATATGTCAAATAGACGATGCGTATATCATCAAATGAGCATCTTACAACTTTTATTTTGAAAATATTTAGTAACATATAAAATTAACAACAATTATTTATAATGACATAAGATATTGTTAGTAATCTTTTTATTCCATTATTTTAATTGTTTTACGTATTATTATGAATAAATTATCTAATTATCTTGACTAGGAAGTAGTGCGAGAATCTCCTTAAAATGTTTTCTCATCATACATACGTATTAATCATACGTATAAATTTTTCCTTTTTTACCTCTTTCTATAGCATAATAGACATGATTCATAAAGAAACAAAAAATTTACCAGAGTTAACTGACAAGATTGTGGGTGCAATCGATTTTGAATGTATACATTTTATTGTGTCACGATAAACGCGATGAGCCATTACGATACGATAGATATTAGTAATTAAAGTGAAAACAAAATGTGAGTGCATTGCGCGCATGCGAGCGTAGAAAATTGTTACATCCGTATCAGCGTGATCCTCTTTTCATGTGTATTTTACTGCGAGAGAGCATTATGAGCAATAACGCGGTAAACCTATATACATATACACCAATTATTGTATGATAAGTTTAAACATTGCTGCAATATCAATCTCATGTCTTCATGTAGCAGAATGTAACAGAAGAAGTGATACATCTTATTAAAAAAATGAAATAAAGAACAATCATTATTATTGACTGTCTAAGTGACAGCTAATAACATGATATTAATGACTGATATTAATGATTTAATACAGTATCGATATAATATTAATTATATTAATTAATAGATATATTATTGTGGAAGTATATATTGAAATAATTATAATGTAACTAAAGAAATCTAAACATCGTTTTCTGGACGTCCCTTTTTGTGGATAAATTATATATATTTGTAAAATATTGACATAATATCTGACACATTCAGCTGTTGTCTGACTATTATAGTCAAATGTCTGGAAGATTCTTTTTTGAATTATTTATATATTACTCTTTGCATCATCAATAGAACTCCTACGTTGTTTGGATAAATTTTGATATTGCGGCAGTCCTTATTTTATGTAGATCTTAGAATCCGTAAGAGAAATCCTCACCGCGATGTTTACATGATACGTAGCATAAATATTTCCAATAAAATTAAAACGACATCGCATGGAAGAGTGCGCGTGAAAAGGTGTTCACGTTTACGTAGCGTTAGAGAGTAGGTGTATTACGTCCAGTACATTTTTTCTATGAGCGTTTTATACCGATGATAAACTTGTTTTCTCATGATAAACGATCACTTGGAAATTTCGCTGATGATGATAATTATCATGATCGCTGCCGTAGGTCGTAGATTTATAAAAAAAAAAAAAGACATAGGGTTTGAACTAATGCGAGCTCAACGGGAATAATCGATAATAGAAAAGTCTCAATAACATCGTAAGAATATCTAAAAGGCTGAATAATTGAAGAATTAAAACACCTTTTAGACGTATCTTCGGATGTTTTTCGGACTTTCAAAAGAAAACGATGGTTTTGAGCGAAGCGTTCGCGTTATATGGTATATATATTCGCGTAGACTGTTTTATTCGGATCACATTTGGACCATGTATTTACAAATTATTATGGTAAAGGCATCGTGGCCTTTTTCCACTGGATATAGAGACTGATATTGTTTTTTAAATAAAGCCCATGTGCTATCGGGAATTTTACGTCCGACCGTTTGCAAAATCTCGAAATAAATTTTTTTTTTTTCTAAATCCGATAGCTCTATAACGTATGCTTCATCGATCGCACAACTGTACATAATAATATTTTGATTGATCGAGCAAAGTAGCACGAGAATTAAAATTGTTTATACAGATGAGGAAGACGTACTCTCTAAATATCAGATGTCGTAAATTTCCATTAATTTGCAAATAAACATTTCTTTTAAATCTTTAGTGTGATCATCAGTAATTAATTTCTGCACGATTGATAACGTGATTGTGCGTGTCGGGAATTTACTCAAGAAATACCTCGGACGTATCGTTCCCGCGTTCTTTATTTGCAAATGTTTGCGATGTTTAAATTATACGGAGACCTAAGAAAGAGCGAGATCAGCGGTACATGCATATTGTACTTAAATGAAAATTATGCTTTTAATTAATCGTGGATTTCGCGATATCTTTTTGGAGACAGTGTGCTCGTTCGTGGTCCCCCAGTCAAATTTTCGGTAAATCTGTGATATAGGGACAGATTCCCTCTTTCTCTATCTCTCTCTCTTTCATGTGTTTTGATACAAAAGATCGACTGTGTCGTCTCATGGCGACCACGAGAGTACTGTGTCCACCAAAGGAGGATAATTATTCATGATTATTGATATACTTGTTTACAGAACAGAGTCGTCTCACGTGATGCGCACACCAAAAATATTTTCTTGTCCGGCATTCTTACGTTCGAATTTTCTTCACATCATATATCACTGCGCGTCAACGTGCGTTCTCATTCGTATTGTACCTAAAGCGAAAACGATCAATACACTGTTGTCATTGTTTATATACCAAAGCTTATTATCATTAAGTAACTTAACGATTACTTTGTGTTATTATTATATTAATTGTCGTAAGCCTATGCAGATAAATATATTATGTATCATATTAATGTTGCACTTTCATTAGCGCCCTATATAGGAATTTTCTTTGTTTGATTAGGATATTTTAATTTGTTCTTTAAATAATAAAGCGCACGCGAAAATGCGTAAATGTATGTATAAAAATAGATTGGATAGATGCATTTATACTACGAATTCAATTCATACAATTTATTCTAAAACCAATTATTCTTCTCTCGTAATACAAAAGTTTCTTTTAAATACAGATAATATAATATATTCCTTTTTCCCTTTTATACATTAAAGAAACCAAATATCATGTGCAAAGATGATGTAAAAAAAGGAAAGAATGCAAAAGAAAGTATGATATATCTCGCTGCACTTTTCCGAATATTTATACAAAATAGCTCAACAATTTCGGAACTATACACAATTAGAGCGAGAATTTCTGCCGATGTGTTATTAGTATGTTAAAAAAATAATTTAGGAAATTAAATTAGTCACGTAAACAAAGAGATGCAGTATATAGAGAATAAAATTTACACAGCACATAACTGTGTGTACAAAAAAAAGTCTGCATCCGATGTAAGCATAATTCAAGATACTTTACAATTATTAAGTGTACATCATCTCCGCCATATGCGACATCTTCTTTGGAATATGAACGAACTCTTCGAAATAACCAGCAAGTTCGCCGATTGTGACGTCGCTCGATAAGGGCGGCGATATTCGCGCCTGGACTGAACAAGTGTTCGGTGAACTCGATAATTGTTGTTGGCCAGATGAGTTACCAGTAGCATCCGATTGTCCATTGCTCGTTGTCGTTCTCTGGTCTCCGCCACCCGGACCAGGACCTCTTTTTAAGTTCGGCATCGTGTTACTGCGAGCTCGGTGGAAACCGCTTGCACTCTCGCAGTCGTCATCCTGAATACTAGTGTCGTCCTTGACCAGCCTATTGTCTTTACTGATATTCAGCGCCTTGAAGTCCTTCATGACCGAATTGTGGTCGATCATCTTGGAATTTTTATTGGGAATACTGAGCTTACACGTGTTCTTAAACAGCGTATCCACTGGATTATCACTAGAACCGCTATTTCCGGGAGCGCTTAACTTTAGAATGGCCTCCCTTAGGATGGTGCTCCTCTTGGTTTTCTCGATTGTTCTCTCGTTCTTAGACGGCTTAAAATTCGTTGTACTCTTGATTCCCCTTGGGTTGACTGGGAACGTAGTAGGCCTGTTAGGCATTGATCTTCTTCGAAATAAACAGTTGCTGCTAGAATTTTTGCCGTATACCCTGAATAGATTCATCGGCTTCGATTTGTCCGCCATTGCAATGCTGAAAGAACAAACCGTTATATTAAAAAATAATTGTGTCATGTGTGAAAATATAAAATGCGCTAAAATGTCACCTCCGTGATTTTTGCTCTTTAAACAAAAGCTTTGCTTCTTTCTTTTGAATATATTTGCGTATATAATGCACAGATTATAATGCGCAGAATATTTTAAACTACATTATAATAAAAATTAAAAAATGAAAGCTTACAGTATTACAAGCAAAACTTGGTGAAAACATACAAGTTCTATCCAATCGTGCTAACCACATAGTTGATATAACATTATTACATTCACAAGCTTTGCAAAGAATTCATTTGACTGTATCCTCCCGGCGATTTGTCTCTCTTAAATCGACTATTCGATGCTATACTAAGTTGTTATTTCCAGCATCACAGGTTTAAAAATAGAGCGTCTAAATGTTTCTCCCGATAGAATCGAGCCGACTTCACTCGACTTCATCCGTCGACGAATCGAGAATCCGATCGCGCAATCGACGATTTCTGATGGACGACGAAATGCATGCATTGTAAATACATACCGTCGTGTTACTAGCCGACCTTGACCGCGATTACGACAAATACAGCCTCGAAGCATTTCGATAACTCGATTGGCTAATAGGAGATACGGCGATTGACAAAGAAACTCGACTGCTAGGGATAGTGACGATTGATAAATCACATCTTTATTGTCACCGATATTAACTCGTCACTGTCGCAACTTATAGCTTTGCAATCAAAACATTTAGTACTTCAGAAGTAAACAACGTTGATTGAATCTCAGTAAGTACCATATTCATTGATAAGTTTCAATTTACATAGCGCTATAATGCTATTTAATACTGTAAATGCAGCGTTGAATAAAACTCGAATAATTTCTTAAATCGCAACATTAATTTTTTATTAATATTTTTAAACCCATAAACCCATAAAATTAAGCTCATTGATTTTTGCATGAGTATTCGCGAACAATAGTTAGCTTACTCCTATCTTATCTAAAATATATGTTACTTAATGTTTGTTTTTTATTCTTGCATTCTCTGAACTGGTACACACGATGTAATAAGTTGAAATGAAACAAATATACATTTTTTCACCTGTATACTAGTCTAAAGAGTGTAAGAATAAAAAACAAACATATTATTACACTAGACTACACTAGAACTTTTCTTGCTTTTGCCAAATTTCAATGTTATTTTACATTAACTCTAGAATGCTATTACTATTGATTGAATATTGCTATCAATATATAAATTTTACATATAAAAAATAGGCCATTCTTAACTAATGTAAATAAACTTTTCATACATTTCACAATTTTAAAGACAAAATATTTATAATCTAGACTTTTATATAAATACAAATAATTTAATTAACTTAAAAGGAGAGAAAAACTTCAAAAAATATCAAACTATCAAATTCAATCTTGAAATGATGGAATGTGTAGTTCAATTTTATGGTTGTTTTTTCTCACTTAATAAAATATATAACATAAAACAATAGCACAAAACTATTTAAAAATGAAATCACGCTTCATGTTGCAAAATTGAAATCCAAACTGATTTATAATGAACAGAATTTGGAAAGCTCATCTCTGCTTGTCTTAGCTTTTGATATGGAAGAATGCAACTTCTAAAAAGTGTATTTGTGTTGATCATACTTCTTGTACTCAACACCTTTTGCTCGTTTTCTTTTCAATGTCCATAAACACTGTTTATATCATTTTAATTTTAAAAGCAAAAATTTTGAAGATTTCAAACAACACAAACAAATCTAAAGATCACTCAAGGCATAGCTTACAATTAGTGCTCCATGACTTTGCTCATTTGTACATAAAATTTATATATTGACAGTATTTTAGAATTAAGTACAAAAGTGTACAATTCAATTAAAAATCAGATACATTTATAGTCAATTTTCTGAATAATTAATCCAAGTAAATATCTAAAATACATAATAATAATGTTGCTGTCACTCTAACATGCAAAGGAATTTAATTAACAAATTTTCGGGTATGATGCAATTTGTCACAAGTCATGGTGAGGCTGCAGTAACTACAAGATTGCTGTCAATCAAAAATCACAGACGCTTATCAGTATCGTAGGTATCTGAAAATCATCAATTCACGACGTCGAAAAGGGACGCTTTAAATCAATCTGCAATCTACGTCATTGTCTTAAAGCTCGACAGGGACGTTTAAAAGTTAAACACCTGCCAATGTATCGCTTCACAGGACACGAAAGCACAAGAAACGTTCTCGACTTTGGAAGAGCGCGTCCCTTCTAGGCGTTGTGCTGACGTATACGGTGTTTACGCATTTCTACGCAGTCGAGAACGATCGAAAACAACAGAGCGACGCTTACTGGGGACAACTCGTTGATCGACGGTCAATCTCGAGCCTCTGCAGACAAGCCGGCAGCACGTCGTCTTCGTCGCCCATACTCGTCGAGGATTGCTGTCAGCGATGGCGCAGCATCAGGCCGATAGACGGGTGCGTCGTGCGCGTGAGAATCCAGGAAACGAGCGCAGCAAGGCTTGGCTAGGTTAGAGCTGTGCAGTCGACGACGATGACGACACAAAGTGCAATCGCGCGACGGCGATAGCGCGTGTATGTGGATGACAGATCGCTCAGCGGCTGATGCGTGATTCCGTCTCCGTTACTTCCTCGCCTCGGCCTCCTGTACCTCCTTAATCTTCTTTCGTCTTTCAATTAGAGATGCAAACCACCTCGTAAACGGCGTCGTTGTGATAAAACAAACGCCGGGATTCCCGTGTGGCACTTGACCATGCATAGACAGATCTGCGGATCAATTGGTTTGACGTCGCGATAGCTAAGGTAAATAAACACCGCTACTGCGCGGGACTAAGAATCAGCGGCAACTATCCGCGAAAGAAAGCTCTCCAGAGGGCGCCATGTTCGAGATTCACGCGAAACTGTCGCGATTGTCGCCACGAGCGCGCCATCCGATTGTCCACGTCGCTAATTGGTCAATTCGACACGGCAGCTTCTGACTGGTTGGTTGTGTGGAAAAGATCCAAGATTGTTTTGAGTAAAGTGAGATCGATAATGTGGATCAATCAGAATCCTTCTTTTGTCAATATGTTTTGTTTGAGAAACACCTGCGAGAATCTTTGAGCTTTGGAAAATTCTCAAAAGTCATTTTCTATCTTTTCCGTTGGAATAAAAGATAATGATAAAGGTAGATAGAGTATAGGTTTCGATCGAATCATCGATTACAAGTAAGTTGATATGAGTAAGATTTATGACGTGAGATATAATCATGCGTTTGTGTTTGAAATTTAGCGAAAGAGCATAGAAAACTTCACAACGGTGATTAAGTATAATTGTCATGCGAGACTTTTATTTTAAATATCAAATAATAAGAATATTCGTATCATTCTCGATTTACATGAATTCTATGAATTTGTTTTTTTTTTTTTTCTATAAATTGTTACAACAATTGGCAGTAAATTTTCATCTGCGTCATTATACACATATTATTAACTTCAGATGATCTGATTTGATGAATGAAAATTTGATTCTATGCAATTTTATATAATCCCCTTTTTTATATTTTATTTTTAGCATGAAAAATTGCGTCAACTTTTGTGATACCTGATATTTTGCATGATAAAAAAATTAACGCGTTAATTTTTAATATTATATATTTAATTATTGTATACAAATATTATAGTGTATAAATATGTAAGTATACAAATATATAAATCAATCATGTTATTGTAATCTTTGTGAGTCAACACCTTGCGCTGACAGTTACTTTCGCAATACAAAGTGGAGAAAACGAGAGAACCGTAATCAGAATCACGGAAAAGAGAATTAATTAATTCGAATTAATTAATTCGACTATCTGTTTAACACACAAATTTTATTATAAAATTAAATTTTTTTTTTATTCTAATATTGCTAATAGAAAAAAACAATAGTAGTTTTAATTTTTTTACTCTTTTCTTTTGAGAAGATAGATTCCCATAGAAATAATCTATAAGAAACGATCTAAAGAAGAGATCTCGAAAAGAGAGAGACACTTAAGTAACCTGGCAGTTTTAGAATAACACTTGAGAAGAGCGATTCTAATCGGGAAAGTCCGCGTAATAAATCAATCTATGTATAAAATTCCATGATTCTCGTGGGCGAGCCTCGCTACATGCTGACGCATTCTCAGCCTAGCTTTATTTTAGCATACGGCTGAAATATTTACGAATTCCCGCTGCTGGAGAGCATTGAGCGAGAGAAAACGGCTGGCCACCTTTATTTATCGCTAAAAGCGAGTGTTCCATCGCGAAATTGTTTCCAGTACCTATCGTTCGTAGACACGCGATATCATTAGCGTGAATTGGAACACTTATGCCCGTATAGTCAGATCTTATACTTAAGGCTTCCTTAAATTTATCTTTAGATACTCAGCCAATGAAATAATTCGTATAGTATCTGAAGATAAATTTAAGGAAACCTTAAATATAAGGCTTGACTATGAATACGGGCATTAGATATTCGCAATGATATTTGGATACCCTCTCAGATATTGAAATGAAAAAATACTAAGACTTTTATTCTGTATTCAAATTGTGTATAATTTAATATTTAAGATGTGAAGAAAATTTACAATTCCACATTATATAAAAAATTTCAAAGCGGACGGAAAATAAATGTTTCTCTGTTCGTTAAAAATAAAAGTAACATCCGAGATTTTCATTTAACTTTTTTAGAAAATGCTGAGAAAGAAGGTTTAAATCTTACAAAAAAATATTTTGAAAGAAAAGGAAGTCTTAAGTAGCCCAAATACTTCTATGTTTAAAACTTATATGAACAAAGAGTACTGGTCTCCTCTTGTTTACTTGTTCAGGTTTCATAAAACTTGTGCTTTTCACAGTTTAGGAGTATGTGATCATAAGCTTTTTCTGAACATTTAAGAAAATATCTTTCAAACTTATAATCTAAATTCGCAAAAATCCGCGCGTTTCGATGCATCTGATTGATTACTATTATCATATATCGCATTATACATAGTCTTTTTTCTATAGCTAAACTAGTATACACTTCTAGAATTTATTATTAAAATGAAATAGATATTCATTTTAATAATAAATTCTAAAAGTATAACTTTAATGATATTTGGTGAAAGTGAAAAAGAAAGTCATAATACACTCTAATGTAGGAATAAAAAATAGATATCTCACAAAACTCCTCCTTAAAGAATAACGAATTAAAAAAATTATCAGGGCGGTGTTCGGAAATTTAGCTGTTTAATCAGTTAGAAATGTGTCTTGGCGCCGAGCCAAAATCTCGTCTACGTTAACATGCGACAAAATTTTTGAAGTTTGACTGTGACATGAGATAGATGTACGTTGCACCTACGCGTATCCGTTGCACTGGCCAGGAAGCAGTCACCAGATCGCCGGTCACCGGAACGCCACGCGTACGTTATTCTTACGGTAAATTTATATTTCCACAGTTATGTTCGGATACTCTTTATGGCTCACATACGCGCTGCATTTACTTCTTCGGATCGCGATTATTTCGTATTCCGCCGATATACTCCACTGATACACTCAATGTGATGTGATTAATGTTTGAAAGTTGTTTGTTAAATAAATATAAATTGAATTATCTTATCAAATATATCATGATATTTCATGCGCATAAATAATTTATGGCTTTAAAATTAGACGGGACGTTCGTATAAATAATTTATATATAGTATACATCCAAAACTTAAAAATATTTCAAGTAAATTCTTTTAAATTTAAATTCAAATTTAATTTCAAGTTTTAAACTTAAATTTTGTAATTCAAAATTTTTAATTGATTGAGTCTTAATTTTTTTTATATCATTCGAACATATATTTGTTTCAAGATGATTAACTAATTGGGAACTTTTTTATCAGTAGTAACAAAAAAATGATTAAAAATTTATTTTGTTTATTCTCTGCAAAATATCTAGGAAATATCTGGATATATCATTCGTTTTCAAAATATGTATTACGACTTATGATATATATAAAATTAAAAATAAATTCATTTATAAAAAGATATTTTGTTTATTAAGAAAAATATATCGAGAGAAAGAAATTAAAATTTTATTGATTATTATGAGATATAATATTAATTTTACTTAAAATATTTATGAAGAAGATTTAGTACTACAATTAAAAATAATATTATACTTTTATATATGTATAAATTAAAGAGACTATTAAATCAGGCAGAATTATTATCCGGAAGTTGCCGATGCAAAACGGACGTGACGGCACACGAGATGGCGATACGTCTACATTTTGACACATATCCGCCGCTACAAATATAGTGAGCTAATTAGAGAATCGGGAGTACGCTTACAACCGGATACAGCAGGATGTAACATCGAGTTAGGATTATCCGGATAAGCGTCGCGACTGTGGACGTGAATGACCCCGCGCTCTCTCGCTCTTTCATAATAATCATAATTTTCCCATCCAACGAACTATAATTACCCGAACGCGTACACGCGATTCCGTCTCATAGTGTTCGCCTTCCGCGACGCTCGGAATCACAACGCGCATTTGCCTGGTGTAATTGCAGCTGCGGTCACAATTTATGGACATCAATTTCCGACGTTCCCACGACAACTTATTCCCTCATGAATCATTCCCTTTTCTTTACATATCGGATCAGCGAATATCGAATCGTGCGAAAGACATAACTTTATTGCGTTTTGTCATCTGGTTAAATTTTTTCAAATCGAATAAATAACCAACTCTTAAATGAAATGATTGATCTCTTAGATATCTACTATATTTAACTGTCTATATATATATTCTAGTAAACAAGTTGACGTTATTTGTCGTCATTTTGACGTCAAAATAATGATAGATAACGTTAGTTTGTTTTGCTAATATAAATATTAGAAATGTTTAGCTAATATAAATATTTGTCGAGATAAAGTGAAATAAAGAGGTAACCATTTCTGTCGAAAAGTTTAAATATTCAATTTTTATGAGTTTTAAGAAAACTGGAAATCTTGCACGCGGATTAAGGTAAACCGGATTATTTCGATGAGAAAAGTTAAAAGAACTTTTTAATTTGAGAATTGATATTCATATTATGTCATACTTAATTTCAACAACGACATATAAGTATTAATTACATCTTTCAAAATAAACTTCTTTTTTGAACTTGTGCAAATTTCTGAAATGCAGTAATTATTTTATTTAATATTTGATTTATTATTAAAATATAATTATCGCACACTGAACTTATAATATATTTTCTAATTTTATAAAATATTACATATATACGTACATATGTTGCCCCTCACAGTGATCTTTATTTACTTGATTCTTGTTTACTCCTCTCGGAATATGACTCAGAATATCACTCCTCTCAGAATATGACATCAAATGCAAGAAGACACATAATAAAAATTTTTGCGAATTATTTTTGAATAGGAAAATATTTTTCAATAAAACAACATTTGCAATTAGTAATAAACTCATAAAATATATATATCAAAAATTATCTTCTTGTTTTTGAGAGAAATTGAATCATATTTATTTCTATGTATATAAAATGTCTCTAAATTCCCGCATACGGAGTACAAGACGTGATACTTTATGATAAAACAAACTTTTTCCTTTAATAAAATTGCGTCCGACAAATAATTTTTAGAGGAGAGTAGGTTGAAATTATACGAGTAAACGTAAAAATTATTTATTGAATGTAATTTTACTACAAGAAAAAGTAATTCATTTTAGCATAAAAAATAACTTTTTCCTTTAACAAATTTGTGTCTGACAAATAGTTTTACAAAGAGCAGATTGAAGTTAACAAATAAGCGCAAAAATTATTTATCGGACGAATTTTGTTAAGAA